AAGCGACCCTATTGCTTTTTTAAATAAAGGTATTCTGCAGGAAAACATGTGCATTTTTTAAGAATGGAAAGCCTGAAGTAGCAATATATGAAACCCCTCAATCCAAAGAGATGGCTCCAGAGCCAGAAGAGTCAAATGCAGGATCCGCTGCCCTGGGAGACGTTTATCCTGCTTGATTTCAGATCAGTTCAAGATCCATTTTGTCTGTTGAGACGTTGGACGAGCCCAGTCTTCGCCAGCAAAGCTGAGTCCTGGACAAACCATACCTTGTCCATGCCATATGAGCACACTTACCAAATTAGGTCACCCATCCACCGGGATTGGCAACATCCAGACCACAATTGGCTTGTTTGACCCGGCAAAAACAGCAATTATTGTGCAGCCCAAAGTGTTCAAGGAGGCAACTACAGGATGTGAAAGCCCTTGGAGCACATCCTGAACCTGCCTTCTCTGCCAGAAATGGAGCTTGGGAATCTTTTGCATAAACTCTGTGACTTCACCATTTCTTTCAATGGGAAGGGAGGCCGTCCACTGAAGGTGTGTTCAACCTTCTGGTGCCCAGGAACGAGTTGTTCTAGATCAGAGGGCCTTTCCCATTGACGTTTTGGAGGCTGAAGGCTTCCCCAGTGTCTGTCATGAAAAGTACCAGGGTTACAAGGATGAACCCTTTGCAGAGGGGAATCCTGGACCCTCGGGGTCAAGGGGCTGCCTGGGGAAGGGGCCCTTGCCTTGCTCCTATCAAGACATGCACTGGGGGCAGCCATTGGAGATGGGTTGGATTCCGCTGTGGGGCATAATGGGGGCTGGGCAGCTGAGACCCCCTGCGCTGGTTGCTCCTTTTTAGGCGCTTGGCACTAAATCCTTCAAGGGACCCCTCAATCTGCCCAGCCAGGGCAATTGCCTTCGTTTTAGGCTCTTCTTCAGCCGGTCCGCTGTGAACCCCAGCTTTCCTCCAATGATCCTGCAACATTGTTTTGAGATTTTGTAGAGAATGTCACCGGTTGGTTGGTTATGGCTTCACAGCCAACTTTGTCCTGTGCTCAGACCTTCCCCAACGAGGCTCTTCTGGTTTAAGGCTGCTCCCTGGGATGTGTTTCCCATGTTTAGGGGGCAGTTGTGAATTCTGTTGCCTCTTCTGATGCTATTGGTTCACCTTACAGTATCCAGATACGTATATTTTATTGAGCGTTCTCATTTTGGTGCTTCTGTCTGGAGTTCAGCTGCCTCAGGCTAGCTTTACAGGGAGCGAGTGGGTTTGAAAGGTGACTAAAGGATTCACTGTCAAATAAGCAGCACTTAAAATAACAGTGAAGGGCTATGGTAAACAACAGTGCAGCTTCCTCATCCTCTTAAGGGCGGTGGGAAGATTTAATTTGTGAAGCTGCTGCAGAAAAAGCTGGGACCCCTTTCTTCCTCACTGCTTGCAAAGAAGGAACCTCCTCAAAGGCAGAGACTCTGGCCGGGCTGGGCTGTGAATGTTGTAGACCCCACTGGCAAAATCTTTTGCCTCCTAGCATCCGAGAGGTATGGTGCCAGAGGGGCAGAGAGACCATCTGGTCAGCAGGGACACACTGCAGGAGGATGGCCTGCGGGGGTTGGGGAGGGACAGCAAGGACTGAAGTGCCCTCAAGGGTGGCTCCGTTGTCTTCCCAGCAGCTTTAGCTGCCAAGGCCACAAAGACATCCCTGTTTCTCAGCTGTGCTGCCCTCACCCTGTGCCCTCGCAGTGCCTTCTGTGACAGAGGGCTATTTCATGTAGCTGTGCCAATAACATTTCCAGGGGTTCCGCTCAGAGAGCTGTCAGAGCTGGTGCCTTCATCCCCCCTTTCTTTCACCAACCTCAGGCTCTGCTCATGGGGTGCTCTGCCTCAGGCCTCTGCCTAGCTCCCAAAGGGCCCCCTTTTCTGCCAGCTGCCGAGCCCAGCTTCCTGCCCTTCCTCCTGCAGGCCATGGAGCAGGAGCGGCTGCAGAATTTCCAGCAGCTGTGCCAGCTGGAGGAAGAGGCCCTGGTGCCCAACCAGCAGGAGATGGAGTGCCGGATCTGCTACCTGAAGGTGGAGCCTGGCAACGGGGTGCTGCTGAGGGAGTGTCTGCACAGCTTCTGCAGGTGAGGCGCTTCGCCTGGAGGAAGAGGAGGGAGGAGGGTTAGGGTTAGGGTTGGGCTGGGCCTCCCCTCCAGCCGCTCTCTGAGCTGCCCTCTCCTCCTGCAGAGACTGCCTGCGCCAGCTGGTCAACTGCAGCCAGGACCCCCAGGTGTCCTGTCCCTTTCGGGACGATTCCTACGCCTGCACCAGCCACCTCCAAGACAGGGAGATACGGGCGGTGAGTCCGGACTGGGAAGCTGCCAGGGGAGCCCTGCCTTGGGGGAAGGAGGAGGAGGAGGAGGAGGAGAAGGGAACCTATGGAGGGGGGAAGCCGCCCCTGCTCTCAGCAGGGCTCTGAGCCAGCCCCCACTCCCCTGCAGCTGGTGACCTGGGCAGAGTATGAGCGCTTCCTGGAGCGGCGGCTGGCGGTGGCCGAGAGCCGGGCGCAGAACAGCTACCACTGCCGGACAGCCGATTGCCTCGGGTGGTGTGTCTATGAGGACGACGTAAATGAGTTCCGCTGCCCCATTTGCTGGGCTCTGAACTGCCTCGTCTGCAAGGTGGGCCCAGTGGACAATGCCTTAGACACCCCACCCCCCATCCCCGCTTCGCCTGGGAGCGAGACTCAGTAGGGGGAACGCTGGCAGGAGGGGGGGCACCCTGAATTTGCACCCTTCAACTGCCCTTTCTAGACTCCTGCCATGAGACCGGCAGCCGGAAACACAAATCCCCCTTTCGTTCTCCCGTTCCTCCTCCTGTGGCAAGGAAGGCTGGCTCCTACGGCCCCGGGTCCAAGACAGTGGAACCAGGCAGAGTTGTGGCCCTCTGCCCAGCAGAGCAGTGCCCTGACGGAGGAGCCCGCCTGAAGCTTGCTGGCCAGCTGTCACTGAAAGCAGGGGCCAGCTGTTTGCTTGCTGTTCCAGAGGGGGGGCCAGAAGGGGCCTTGCAGGGTGGAAGGGCCCAGCCTGAAGGTGCCTCTGCCCACAGGCCATTCACGAGGGCATGAACTGCAAGCAGTACCAGGACAAGTTAAAGTCCCAGGCTCACAACGATGCTGCTGCCCGAGAGACTAACAACATGCTGAAGGTGAGACCAGCTCCTTCGCCAAGAAAGGCAGCCCGTCTTCAGTGTGCACCCAGCCCCCGCTCCCCCCCCCCCTGCATTTTGGAGCCTATGTCTTCCGAGCAGCTGACAAGTGTCCTTGTCCCGGCAGACGCTGGTGCAGCTGGGGGAGGCCATGCATTGCCCCGCATGCCGCATCGTGGTGCAGAAGAAGGGCGGCTGTGACTGGATCAGATGCCCCGTCTGCCAGACAGAGATCTGCTGGGTGACCAAGGGGCCACGCTGGGGGCCAGGGGTAGGTGTCCTCAAGAGCGGGGAGAAGGCAAGGAGAGCCAGCCCACTTCCCAAGGTCGGCCTGCTGGGGAGGGGGCTAAGGAAGGACATTCCCAGAGAGCAGGCCAGGCTCCCTGGACATGTGCTTCCTTAGCCCTCTCCCCATCTGGCCCCTGCCTGCGCTGGCCTTGGGCCTGGCTGTCCTCGGGAAGCCCGCAGGGGTCCTGCTTTGTTCCGGCTGTGTGGAATTCTTGTAATAATTGGCCATTTCCGCATTTTAGAAGGCAGGACTGTGTGTGCGCACACGCGAACACGAGGAACAGACAGACCTGAACCAAAGAAACACCTGCCCCTTCTGACCAGCTTGTCTGATACTCTGAGCTCTGAAAGGACACCAGCAGCCCAGGAGGCAGCCTTCTTGGGAGTGCACCTTGGCCAGCAGGTCCTCTGGTGCGCCTGCCCAAGCAGGCCTCTGGGAAGAGCTGCCGCACCCAGCCCTCCCCTGGAGAGCCTAGGAGTTAGGGAGCCAAGCAGGGCCTCTGGCTCTGGCTTTAGATCTCCCGAGTTGCTTTCTGCCCCCCCAAAGGCTGGCAGGGCCCCGTTGCCACCTGACTTTTTTCAGTCAATTGCCAAAGCGTCTTCATCTGAGCCCCATCGGATCACCTGACCCAAAGTAGGCAGGGGCTGGGATGCCCACGGCCTCTGAAGCTCAGGACTCGGGAAGATGGTAGACTTTGGAAAAGCACCGAGCCTCAGCGTCTCCCAGGGAGGCAGCCGCAGAACGCAAAGGGGCTGGTGGGAGGGGGAAGCTGGTGGGGTCCAACTCTGGTGTCATAGAGGGGCAGGAGGAGGCTGGAAAGGAAGGTCACCCCACTCACCCCTTTCTTGCAGGGCCACGGTGACATCAGCGGGGGCTGCCGGTGCAACGTGAACGGAGAGAGATGCCATCGGCTGTGCCAGAACTGTCACTGAGCGCTTGGCAAGAGGAAGCGGGCAGGCACCCCACCCCCACCCCCACATCTCAACAGCTCCACTGGGGTCAAGCCTGCTTTCTTAGGGGGGAGGAGGTGTTTCCCTACTTGGGTCTTCCTGTCCTGCATCCTGGACTTCTGACTACAAGACGGGTAAAAACATGCAACACTTTGCAGCTCTGGTAGATGCTGTGTTACCTGCCCAGGGCCTGAGGCTCTGCACCCAGCTTGAAAGGCAGCAACCCAGGATGTCTTTCTGACTTCACTTGCAGCGGAAGAGTCAGAAAAACAGGTGGGTCTCTCCCTCCCTCAAATTTCTTGATTCCAAAGGCACCCCACCCCCACCCCCCCAGTCTTTAACTGATACTTCTGGGCAACCAAGGCATAGCTATTCGAGAGTGAAACCAGTGGAGAGACTCCCGCTCTATGTTGCCGCACAGGGGGAGAGAACCTTCCCAATAAAAGGAACACACGCCAGCCTTGAGCCGGTGATTCTTTTCAGGGCCGAGGAAGAATTGCCAGGGGTGGGGGAGGGGCAAGAATGGCCGCAACTTAGGCCAGAGGGCCTCCAGGCTGAGAGGACTCTGCGCCTCAAGAAAGCAACTACCATCTGGTTGAAGAAACACGTTTATTGGGTGCCTGCCACCCCTTACCCCAGGGTCCTCTTGCCAAGGCTGCGAGAGCGACTGGATGAATGGCGAGAGACATTAAATAGCAGCCAGTGCACTCGGGAGAAGCGGCCATCCCGCCCCACCGCCCAGCCACATGAAGGACGAAGCGCCATCAGTGCTCTGTCAATGGAGGCGGGTCTGCCTCATCCAGAGGTCAGTCACGACGCTGGTAGAACATTTTCCTGCTCAGCGCAACTGAAAACTTGTGCTTTGTCATCAAGTACACGAAGGGTATCACCACGGATGCAATCAGTACTGTCTGTGTGAAGAGAGGAGAGACTGTCATGGAGTTGCCCCCATGCACAGCCCAGCAGCCGGTATGCTCTGCCCCACCAGGAAAGCAGCAGCTCCTGGCTACATCTGGCCCATCAGACCACTACCAGCAGACAACACGCACCTTGAGGCCTAGCCGCTTGCGGTCATCAAATTCTGGTTCTCCTGCCCATCGTAAGAAGGTGCAGACGTCTTTTGCAACCTGCGACATGGTGGCAGGCGTACCTGTAAAGGAGCAGACCCAAGTGACCTCCAGCCCAGTCAAGGAAATGGCCTCCTGCCACCCTCAAGCCCACTCACCGTCATCGTATTCCAGAATATCGTTGTAGATCGGAGGAGCCATAGCTATTGCTTGTCCAGTGAAGTAGGGGTTGTAATAAAGTCCCTCTCGTATAGTCACGCCAGCAGGGGGGTCGCAGTAGCCAGTGAGAAGGGAATAGACATAGTCCTCACCCCCATCCCTGAAAGGGAAGGGAAATGAGGGCCCAGCTTCTCCAAGCCTCTCCTCTGCTTGGCAGTGCCAACCGCCAAGCTGTGCCCAGGCCCCACCTCAGGCAGGATTACCTGGCTTTGAGAATGAGGCTGAGGTCAGGAGGTAGGGCCCCGTTGTTCGCTGCCCGCGCCGCTTCAGCGTTGGGGTAAGGGTTGGGGAAGCGATCAAACAGCTTGCCAGACCGCGTATACATCTCGCCGTTCTCATTGGGTCCATCCTGCACCTCCACCTAAAGGGTGAGAGGCCAGCCTTGCTTGGCAATCCTCCACCTTCCCCAGAGAAGGACCAGCTATTTTGTCCACCTCCCTCCATCACCACCTCAGCTGCCGACCATAACCATGACAAGGCCACCAGCCCCGTAGCCAGCCTCTCGAAGGCATGAACCACATGAGGCAGCCCGGAGCAGTGCCCATGACATCTGAACCAGGGTCATCTCCCTGTGGTCAACTTCACGCTTTGCTTACCTCCTCAGCCAGGACCTTGGCTTCTTCTTCAGTGTGGGTAGCACCCACAAGGTTGCGAAAGGACAAGTACTCCATGCTGTGGCAAGCGGAGCACACCTGCTTGTATACCTGGTAGCCACGTCGGATGCTGTGGACATGAATGTTTCCTTCAGGTCACGAGCCTCGCAAAGCACTGCTTTCTAACAAGCCAGCCATTGAAACAGAAAGCAGACAGGCAAGCGCAGGAACCCAGGAACATCCGGTTTCCTCTGGTGGGGGGAATGGCACTGCCAAAGACCAGGATTCCTCTGAATTGGTCTGGTATGCCCAATGCTACTGGAGGGAGACAGCTGGACCAAGCAGAGGACCAAGAGAGCTCAAAAATGTCTGGACTGCAGGCAGGCAGAACACGGGTGCAGGAGCAGCAAAGGAAGTGGAGCCAGCTAAAGGACTTAGGGCTATCGGACAGGACGGGACATGAGAAAGTCTGGCAGCTGCTTCCTAACCAGAGGGGGAAAAGCAAACTCAAACAGGACCCCCAGCGAACTTTGTTGGGCTATGACACCACTCACCTGCTGTGATCCAGTGCAGTCAGGAGGCCATTGTGGCTCCAGGGGTAACTGGGTGGATGAAGCTCCAATTCCGAGGCATTCACAGAGCTCTGAAGGGCCCAGGCAAGCCCTGCCCCACCGACTGTCAGAACGCCCAGAGCGCCAAGGGCTACCCTCTTGCCCCGGGACAGACCCGCCAGGGATGCCACGTTGGCCTGCAAAGAAAGGCAACTGAGCGGATCTCCTGCAAGCGAAATGGGGCCTCGGTTCTCCAAGTCCTCCGAAGGCATTGGCAAATACAGCAGAAACTCCCAACAGGCCTGTCCCTGTTGTACCCTTGAGTCCGCTGCTTTGCTGGATTCCTCCATCTCCGGCTTCCCAAGAATTACGGCTGACTGTTCTGAATGAATAGCACACACACACACACACACACACACACACACACACACACCCCTCTGATATACCCTGCAGAGTTCCCACTTTCTGCACAAATTAGGCCAGACCAGCGTTTCTCAACCTTGGCAGCCTGAAGATGGGTGGACTACAACTCCCACAGTTCCCCAGCCGCCCATCCTCCAAGCTGCCAAGGCTGAGAAGCGCAGGGGGGCAATTCAGAGCTCCAAAATGCCACCCCAGCTAGTGGGGGGAGGGGTCTCTTGGCCAGGGAGGAGGGGGGGGGGCAAAACCTGCCACGGGGGGGGGGGGGGGGGGGGGGGGGGGGGCTCTCGACCTGCTTCCCACTCTCCCGCCCGGCGTTGGAGCTTCTGAAGCTGAAGGGGCCGAAAAGGGGGGCTGCCCGGCCGCCCTCCGGCCTCCCTGCCCGCGATTCCCCACCGGACTCTCCGCAGGCGGCCAATCCGGAGCGGCCGCCCGATGCCGCATCCCGCTGGGCGCCCGGCAAAGGGCGAGCCTCCCACCCTTCCTCCCGGCAGCGGGCCGGTTCCCTCCCGCTCGCGTCCTCCGGGGCGCCGCAGTGGAGCAGCCGGGCCCGCGGGCGGAGGGCCGGGGGGTGGGGCCGGGGGCGGCCGGTGGAGGAGCGGGGTGACCTTGGGGCGGCCGGCGGGACGCGAACGGAGCCCGACCGGGACGGGGAGAACCGGCGCGCGCGCCGCCCGGCCGCCTCGCCATACCCGCGGATGAGGGCCGCCGGGCAGGGTCGGGACGAGGAAGCGCCCCCGGGAACGCGCCAGGCTCCGCGCCGCCGCCGCCGCCACCGCAGCCATCTTGGGGGGAGCCGAGGCGAGACAGCTTTCCCACAAGGCGCCGCGCGGCGGAAGTGCAAGCGTAGCCTTCCGCCGCTTCCGGCCCTCCGAGCGACGCCCTACCCGGCTGCGGTGGGCTAGAGCGGCGACGCGCCGGTCTCCGCAGGGCACGTGACGCGAGGCTCCTTCGGGCGCCAAGCAGACCTACGAATCGTCAAGAGTAGACCCCCCCTCACAGCCTCCTGCTCGCGGGCCTGCAGCGATTCCCTCATTGCCGCCAGGAGGCAGGGCGAAACCCAAACCGATCAGCCAAGGGGCCATCAGAGGTCATCCGTTCAACCCCTTGCAGGAGACCCTGCACCATTTCAGACAGATGTCTTCTTGAAAACTTCCAGTGTTGGGAGCATTCATAACTTCTAGTGGCAAGCTGTTCCACTGGTTAATTGTTTTCTCAGGAAATTTCTCCTCCTGTTGCAGGTTGCTTCTCTCCTGGGTTAGTTTCCACCCATTGCTTCTTGTCCTGCCTTCAGGGGCTTTGGAGAAGAGGTTGACCGCCTCTTCTTTGGGGCAGCCCCTCAAATACTGGAAGACTTCTCTCATGTCTCCCCTGGTCCTTTTTTTCTCTAAACTATCCAAACCCAAATCCCGCCACCGTTCTTCATACGTTTTGTCTCCAGGCCTTTGATCATCCTAGTTGCTTTTCTCTGCAGTTTTTCCAGTCTCAACATCTTTTTTGTAGCGTAGTGACCAAAACTGGATGCAGGATTCCAGATGTGGTCTTACTAAGGCTTTATTAAGCAATTTTGATTCTATACCCATTTATACGATCAAGGATTGTATCACCTTTTTTGGCTGCTGCCGCACACGCCTGGCTCCTGTTTAAGGGATCGTCCACTGTGACTCCCAGGTCCCTCTCACAGTTACTGTTTTTGACCCGGATTTTGCCTAATCTGTGCTTGTCCCTTTGGTTTTTCCAGACTAGGTGTAAAACCTTGCTTTTCTCCACATTAAATTTCATTTTGTCGGATAGCGCCCATTGTTTCAAGTTAAATTTCCTTCTTCTGAGTTCATTGTTCAAGAACCCCGTCCCGGCCTTCACCTTCCACAGCTTCAGTGTTAAAATGGCCTGAAGTTAGCGGTGAAATCCACTTACCTTTGCTAGAGGTTCGGGAAACGGAGCGCGTGCGCACAGAGGTTCAAAAACAAGATGTAAAGACGTCCCGGCGAGTGGGCAGAGCCTCCCTCCGCCGGCGCTACCGGTTTGCGCGAGCCGGATAGATCCAGCCCGATTTCACCACTGCCTAGAGCCCTCATTGATTCAGGGTCTGAGAGTGTCTGAAATATGACCCGGGGGGATGGGACGCACACAAATCCACTCTTTGTGCCACAACTTCCAAAGTGTTTATTTTGTCAACAATTTTTCCAGGCAAACCACAGCTCCCGCCTCCCTCCCAGCCCTCCAGTCAGTCTTTCTGCTGTTTTGCAACCGCAGCAAAGGCCAAGAGAATCAGGGCCCTGTGGCTCTCTGTGCCCCTAGCAAACCTCTACAGCCTGCCCAGAGGGAGGTCCCAGCCTGCAGCCGGCCGAACATTCAACATTGCAAGTTGGCAGCTGCCACTTTCTTGCCCTCTTGGAGAGCTCTCTGGGCACCAGCAGCTGCTGTGCAGGAGGGGGCTCCGGGCTCCACCTCCCCGGTCCACTTCAAAGCCTTGCTGGCCTCTGGTGAGCAGTGGCCAGGGGCGGGGGACCTACTTCCAGAAGAGCACGTTCCAGAAGAGCAGCCAGCAGGGGTACACGAAGATGGCCACGAAGGGAAAGACGATGGAGCCATAAAGGTAGTGGTCCAGCAGCCCCTCAGCAATCACCTGGAGGAACTGCTGCCAGCCCTCCAGAGGCGAAATGGGGTACTCCATCAGCTCTTGGTACAGGAAGATGCAGAGGAGGAGAGTGATGGCTGGGGTGACCAGCAGCAGCAGCCCCGCGTACAGGTACCTGTGAGGGAGAGGGGGCTTCTGATCACGCCCACCTGGCCCAAGCCCTACGCCCAGTCCCCCAGTGGCTTTGCCTCCCTCCTGCTAGCTCTCTGCTGACCTGATTAACAGGCTGAGAGGATCTTGCATGGATACAGGGCACAAGCCTCCTCAGCTGTTCCTCCCTGCACTGCCAAGGCAGCTGACTGGTTGGGCTGGAGCCACTTGCCTACTTTGCAGGTTTAAATCGGGGACGGGCAAACTGTGGCCTGCCTGGCACTGCCCCCTCCCTCCCCAAGACTGCACTGTCTCTCTTTCTCACCATGCAATGGAACCAGTGCGCAAAGGTTCTGACTAATGAACGATTCCTTCATCCGTGAACCAGAAAAACAGAAAACGGCTGTCTAGCTCTGCTTCTATCCCTGCTTTTGGGAGCTTTGGAGGGGGGGTGTCCCCCAACAGGATGCATGCTTGTGAAAACATTGGCTTCCTTAATGCCAGCCTTTGGTACCCAGAGATGGTTCCAGGTCTGGGGCACCAGATACAGAGAACGGCCCTCGGTTCAAAAACTCCCTTTCTCCCTGGAGAGAATCACTGGGGTAGGGAAGCAACACCCACCGCCCCGTGACTGCATGCCACCCCCCATCCCTGCTGCTTCAGAGACCCTGCAGCACCACTGTTCCTGCCCCGGGACGTACCTGGGCCCCGTGGGTTGCACAATCGCTGCCACGGGCGCCATGGTGACAGTCAGCAGGAACCCCAGGGAGAAGTTGATGAGGGCGACGCAGCTCAGCTGCATGGCCAGGTAGAGGAGTGCAAACAGCTTCAGCATCCTCCAGCCCTGGTTGCTCCCTGAGCCCATCAAGACTCTGCAAAGCAGGAAGCCCCGTTAGTCTGGGCAGAATCCCGCAGCGACTCGCCTTCCTACTCCTCCCGTTCAACCGCAGATGCAGCCACTCGCAGACGACCAGGCTCCCACCTCACCGTTACCTATGCGTGTTGTGGGGCAAAGCCAGCCCAGCCACATAGATCCCAATGCTGGTGAGCACCACAGCCTCCGACTCCGAAACCGGGAAGTGTTCGGTGGCCACCTGCTGCCCCCAGACGGGCACAAAGTACAGCGCGAGGCCTGTGGCGTGGCAGATGAGCAGCGGGGGGATCAGGGTCAGCACGTTGGGTCTGGGATCCTGTCCCAAAGAAGGATGGCCGGCGCTTAAGAGGATGCCCAGCTCCAACCCCCAAAGCAAAGGAACAGCTGAGCCGGAGCTGGCTGGCCACATCCCACCGCCCAAGGCTGGAGACTCTGATAGCAGACTAAGCGCACGGCCCGCCTCTTATCCCTGAAGAGAGCGACAAACCCTTTCCTGTCGCAACCCACCTCCACAGGAGCAGGATTTGAAGCCTGGTCTCCATCGCAGAGTTGGCTCCCGTCACTGTCGAAGCTGCTTAGCTTCACCCACAAGTCCAGGGCGTGGAGGGAGGGAGGAGTCCAGGAAAACAGGCATGACATAGGCAGGCCCCAAACATCGATGCCCGGACTGCCCCATGCCCCGGTATTTTGGTGAAAAGTGCCTCACTGCACCCTTTGGACCAGGGGCGACTCCCAGCCTTGGGCAGCTCTCTCACACCAAAGAGGGCCCCTTCATGCTGGGGAAATAGGGACCCCCACTGCTGGATGGGCAGAAAGCAGGCCCTCCCTCTTCCACCACCCAGGCTCCTAGAGTGGCCCCAAGCCCCGAAGGACTCAGGCGGGATCCCCACACGCTTCTCCAGCACCCCACTTTCAAGCAGGAGCCCCGCCCCAGCAACCCTCCCCAAACTGGACATGCCTCCAGGAAGGCTAACGTAGGACCCCTCGCCCCTTCCCAGGGAGTAGGGCCACCTGCTGGCCTGGCTGGGTGCCTCCGCTGGAGGAGGATATCTTGAGGATGAGGATGAGGATGAGGAAGCCGAAGGCTGGCATGTAGAGCCCGATGGAGACGAAGCGGGAGAGCGAAGGGAGCAGGTAGAAGAAGTAGGACTGGTGCAGCCGCTCCAGCAGGTTGTTCAGCTTCCGGAAGATGCCCTCGAAGGTCCTGTGGGAAGAGCGGACAGAGGCTTGCAGCTTCCCATACCAGGGGGAGCCCAGCAGCCCCCACTCGGATCTCAGCCCGCTCCGACACTCACACGCCCATCACGCCCATGTCAAACTTGTACTGGCGGAAGCTGTTGATGCCACGGATGGTGATGGCCTCGATGTGGTAGCGGAGGAAGAGGCCATGGTCCCCCTGCGGGTGGCCCGAACCCTGCTTCAGCACCATCAGCAGCAGCGTCTGGAGGGAGTGCAGGTAGGCCGGCAGGGAGTCCCAGTCGGAGCGCTGCAGCTGCAGGCGGAGGTGGGGGGCAGAGAAGGCTTTCAACAGGGCAGGCACTGTCTGGCCGGTGCCCCAGCTGCCCCCAAGAGCTCAGGTGAAGACTACCACCACTATCACTCCAACCACGGAGAAATCCTGCCGCAGCCTGACCACCTGCCTGCTCAACCAGTGGCAGTCTGACCCAAGGCACCTCCTCTGGCCTGGGGGAGCTGATGGCCGAGCAGCTCTCCCCTCTGGGCGGCCTCCAGACTGACCCAGGATTCCTCCCACGTACCTTGCCTTGGATGGTGCAGAGCAGCCCGTTCTTCTGGCAGAAGGAGTAGAAGAGGTTGACCAGGTCCAGGTTGGGCAGCTGCCCGTTCAGCCCCTCCACGGCCACGTCGAAGCTGGTGATGACGTCGCTGCTCAGCTCCAGAGAGATGGCGGCCTGAATGGCTCCTGCTCGGCCGAACGTCCCCGACGAATGCATCTCTGCGGAGGACACAGCGCTTGCATGGACGCCTTCGTAACAGAAAGCAGCCGGCTGATAATGTTCTTCCCTAGGGACTAGATTCGGAAGCCCTCTGAGGCTCCGGTTTGCCAAAGTTGTGAGGTGCGTAACCCCAGCTCTGCTTTACCAAAAAGGCTGAAAAGTCCTGCTCGTATTAAGGGAAGCCGTTGCTAACAGGGTGGTACCCGATGTGGGGGAGCAGGCGCCCCAAAAGGAGAGGCATGGGAGGCTGGGGGTCCTGGAGCAGGGGGAGGGGGGAACCAGGCAGCGGACCCCCTACCTGTGACGTTGACATCATGGTAAGCTTCCAGCCAGGCCTCCATGCCGATCAGGTCGTGTTCGTTGACCAGGAAGATGATGTCCTTGGCCCAGTAGATCTGGCCTGGGAGGCAGGGAGGGGCGGCTCAGCGCCGGCTCTCTCCCCCCCCCCCTCCCTCCCTCCCCGCAACCGGCCCCCTCCCGACTCACCGCGGAAGTGCGCGGCCAGGGCCAGCATCAACCCCACCGCCTGGCTGTTCCGCGGCTGCCCGTCGCTGCAGGGCACGCTCAGCACCAGCGACTCGGTGCTGGCCGCGCGCGGGGCCCGCAGGATCCCGTACACGTTGGTCCCCTTCACGGTCTGCGCGGGGAGAGGAGAGGATGGGAGGCGCGTGGGCGTCGCCCCCCCCCCCCGCCCCCCCCCCCCCCCCGAGCCCCCGGCCGTACGTATCTCTCGCGCGCCTCGTCCGGGAAGGGCAGCGTCCGGGAGAAGCTCTGCGCGTGCACCTCCAGGCCCAGCGCCCGCAGGCTCTTCTCCAGCCAGGCCACCGGCAGCGCCCTGCGGGGAGAGAGAGGGGCATTGGCCGCCGCGCCCCCAAAGGCCGCCCGCCCGCCCGCCGGCCCTCCCCGCGGCCCGAACTCACCCGCCGGCCTTCTTGCGCTGGGCGGCGAACTCGCGGGCGAGGGCCAGGGCGCGGTCCCCGCGGGCGAAGCGCTCCTCCACCATGGTGGAGCCCATGGCGTTCTCCGACATGGAGGCGCGCGGCGCCAGCGGCTGGAAGGCCAGGCCCAGGAACCAGCCCAGCCCGGCCACGAAGCTCAGCGCGCTGCGGGCGAGAGACAGAGAGAGAGAGAGCGGCTCAGCCGGGCGGGCGGGCGAGGGGCGGCCGGAGACCCCTCCCCGCCCGGGACCCTCCGCACCAGAGCGGCGCGTGCAGGCGGAGCAGCAGCCGGGAGAGCGCGCGGCGCCAGTGCGGGTCCGACAGCAGCCCCATGGCGCCCGGCAGGCAGAGGCGGCGGCGGCGGCGGCGGCAGCGCCTCCCCGGAAGACGCGCACGCTCCGCCCGGCGCCGGGGAGGAGCCTCCCAGCCCCGAGCGCGCAGCCGGCGCCGGCCCGCCTTTGCCCCGGACTGCACGGCTGCGGAGCCCCCGAACCGCGCGGAAGCCGAGGAAAGGCCCGGAGCTCTCCCGAAAAGGCCGCGCGGCGCCACCAGTCGGCCCGAAGCCCTCCTGCCCCCCCCCCCGCCCGCGGCTCCCTCCCTCCCTGCCCTGCCGGACTGCAAGAACTGCACGGGCGCTGGGTCGGTCCAAGAGGTTTATTGGGGGGGGGAGGGGGGACATCCAAAGCAGTCCGAGAGCGAAGGCGGCGGCGGCGGCCCCGCTCAGTTCCCGGCCAGGGCGGCCCCTTCGCGCAGGTGCTCGCGCACCACCTGCTCCAGCACGGCGTGGACGTCCAGGCAGGCCTTGCGGGCGGCCTCGGCGATGCGCTCCAGGTGGTCCTCGTGCAGCCGGCCGTTCATCTCCAGCAGGGCGATCTGCTCGGCCTTGGGCAGCAGCGCCAGCGCCAGCTGGGGGCCCCCGGCCGCCTCCTCCACGTAGTTCAGGTCGGCCAGCGCGCTCTCGTCCACGAAGCCCGCCGAACTGGCGCACACGTAGTCGCGCAGCGGGATCCCGGCGTCGATCACGGCCAGGGTGGCGGCGTTCACCGAGGCGCAGTAGTTGCCGCCGTCCGCCTGCAAGATCTGAAGGCGGCCGAGCGGCGGTCAGCGCCCCGAGTCAGGCCCCGCCCGGCGCGCCCCTCGCCCGCCCCCCGCCGGCCCGGCCCGGCGCCCCACCTGCACGTAGATGTCGATCTGGGAGCGCGGGAAGAGGCGCGTGAGGATGGCGGCCTCGAAGGTCTGCTTCAGGTGCAGCGTCATCTCGCTGGCCTTGCGGTCGCCGTGGGGCCGCCGCTTGCGCTCGCCCGTGCTGAAGGTGGCCATGCTGAACTGGCAGTTGACCAGCGCCTGGTCCGGCAGCGCCTTGCTCCGGGAGCCGCGCATCTGCGGGGGAGACAGGCGCAGGCAGGCAGGGGAGGACCCGCTTAGCCCCCCGGCTCGGCTCGGCTCGGCGGCCCCGGGCGGCCCCCCCCGCCTACCTCGTGGGGCCCGTAGACGACGGCCAGCGCCTTGGTGTTGCCCTGCTCCAGGTAGGCGGAGCCGTCGGCCTGCGCGAAGACGCCCATGCGGGCGCGGATCTGCCGAAGCTCGCCGGCGCGCCGCCCGTCCAGGCGGTAGCCCTGCTCCGACAGCAGCTCCAGCCCCGCCATGCCCGCCCGGCGCTTCCCGGCCTGCCCCGCGCCCCGACGGGAGGGGCCCCGCAAGCGCCGCCCCTCGCTTCTCCGCGCGCGCAGGACGCCCCGCCCGCCCGGCCGCTGGGAAGCCCTCGGGGCCGCGCTGTCTCCGACGGGGCACCGGCCGGGGCGGAGGGAAGCGGCAGCTGCGGGAGTCGTCGACGTCCGCCCGCCCGCTCTGCCTTCCGTGAAGCCGGCGGGGAGGAGCGCGCCCCCTTCGCCATGGCTGCCCCGCTGCCGGAGAAGTTCCAGTTCGCCATCGACCGCGGCGGCACCTTCACCGACGTCTTCGCCCGCTGCCCCGACGGGAAGGTCCGCGTGATGAAGCTGCTCTCCGAGGACCCGGCCAACTACCGCGACGCGCCCACCGAGGGCATCCGCCGCATCCTGCAAGAGGTCAGAGCGCTCCCCTGCCGCTGCCTGCGGGCGGGCCCGCACCCGTCGCAGCCGCCCCTGCTTCCCGGCGGGTGGAGGGCGGAGGTCTGCGAGGCACGGATTGGGCGGCTCTGCCACTGGCTCGCCTCCTGTTGCTGCGCGCCAGACCTGCCGGGAAGGCCGAGGGCGGCACATGACACCCCCCCCCCGGGATGGAGGGCCCGATCCTGGGAGCTGTGCCTCCCCGATGTTCGGGGGAGGGGAGGTTCCAGAGGAAGCGGCCGGCAGAGGTCCAACCTTCCCTCCGACAGGAGTGCGGGGTCCCCTTCCCCAAAGACCAGCCCCTCAAGACGGCCTGCATCGAGTGGATCCGGATGGGCACCACCGTGGCCACCAATGCCCTCCTGGAGCGGAAGGGCGAGCGCTTCGCCCTGCTGATCACCAAGGGCTTCCGGGACCTGCTCTACATCGGCAACCAGGCCAGGCCCCGCATCTTTGACCTGGTCAGTGCACTCAGCTGCAAAGGGGATTCTCACACACACACACACACCCCCGCCCAGCTCTGCTGTGTCTTGCCTGGGAGAAGGTGCCAGCTGGTGCCTCCTTCCCCCAGTACCAGGGAGGGAGGGTTAACCCAGCTACACCTGGGATTGGCAGGGATGGCCAAGCCAGTGGAGGGAACTGCTTGACTGGAAGTGCTCCCCCCCCCCCCCGTGGTGTGCCTAGGGGCAAGGGGGCGGCATAAGCAGCTCTGCTCCCACAGCAACCCCTCTGCATTCCCCTGGGGCTTCTTGGGCCAATGAGGCTGGGGGGGGGGGCGGATGACAGACTGTGAGTGCCATCCTCCTGTGCTGGGCCAGCCCTCCTGCCTCCCCCTCCTCCCTGGTCTTCCAGGCCTCACAGTCTAGGGGCCCCTTCCTGTTCTGAGGCCCTGGGCGCTCTAATTCCCTGGCTGGCCTGTTTTAGCCGTCCCACTTGCTAAGAGTTGGGGCCCCCAGAGGGACCTCCTCTTTCTGGACTCAGGCAGTGGCTGCGGCTGAACAGCTGCAGGCACCACCTCCACCCCAGATGGGCTTGGTGGCCCTCCTTTGGGTCTGCTCCATCTGTGGCCGAAGGGATGCGGCCCGGTCAACCACCCCAGTAAGACACTCACAAAGGGGGCTCTTGGAGCTGGAGAGCCACCCTGGCCCTTCTCTTGGCACGGGGTCTCTCTTGCTTTCCCTGTCTGTACTCCCCCCCAAGCAGACAGACCCAGCCTGAAGCCCTCTCCCTCCCAGGAGGTCCGGATGCCGGAGGTCTTGTACGAGGCAGTGGTGGAGGTGGACGAGCGCCTGGTGCTCCATCAGGACGGCTGCCCGCTCTTTGATTCCGGGCAGCATGTGACAGGTGGGAGCAGCAGCCAGGCCCGGGGGTGGGGTGGGGGTGGGGCTGCGGGGGAGGGGAAGAGCTGAATGCAGCCTCTGGAGTGCAGATGTGGGCCCTTCACCCCCCCAGGCTTGACCGGGGAGGCGGTGGTGGTGAAGCAGCCTGTGGACCTCCTTGCCCTGCGAGCGGACCTGGAGGCACTGCTGGCACGGGGCATCCGCAGTCTGGCCGTGGTCCTGCTGCACTCCTACCTGTGAGTTCCTTGCGTGAGGAGGGGGCGCCTTGACCCTGCAGGGCAGACAGGCGTGGAAGGAGTGCCATGGCAGACAGATGTGGAAACACAGGCAGTACATCTGGGCTGCTGGTAGCCGAGAGAGAAGGAAGCTGGGAGGGGCAACCTTCGGGTGCCAAGGGCTGCGTTTAGCAGCTGGGCATCAATGAGCTTGGCACAAACTAGGCAGTAGGTGACTTTGGACGGGTTTATGAGTCTCCTGCTGGGCGCTGGCTTCTATGTGAAAAGGCTGCCGGTGGCTGGAGGGGAGGGGCTGGGGGAGTCCGGATCTCCCTTCAGTGAGTGGGGCTGACTCCTGAGCACACCACCTGGAAGGGGGCACCTTTCCCCCTGCAGTCCATGCCAGCTGGCCCAGAGCGGGACCTGGTGATTGGAGGCCTTGGGTGTCTCTACAGGTGGCCCAGCCATGAGCAGCAGGTGGGCGCCCTGGCCCGGGAGCTGGGCTTCCAGCAGATCTCGCTGTCCTCTGAGGTGATGCCCATGGTGCGCATGGTGCCCCGTGGCTACACGGCCTGCATAGACACCTACCTGACCCCCTGCATCCTCCGCTATCTGCAGAGCTTCCGGGACGGCTTTGCTTCGCAGCTCCAGGTGAGGTGGAGGAGGAGAAGGGGGGCTGGGGGAGGGGGGCATTGGCTTGTATGGGCCTCCAGGGATTGCGGTCTGCCGTGGCGACCCAGGCTCCGCTCGCGCTTCTGCAGTCGTTTTGTGCAACCCGGGTTGTTGTGTTAAGGCAGAAGTTGGCTTGTTTCTGCACGTTGCTCAAGCACAGCGACTGAGCCTTGTGAACTAACGTGCGCTGCATGGGAAGCGTCTCCCACTGGCCTTTTTGGCCTCCGCTCTGGCCTCTGGCCTAGCAGCCAGGTGAGAAGCCCCTCTCTGGCTCTCCTTCTGAGTAGCCCATAAAGGCCTGGGGCGGAGTCCGACTGCTCTGCCGGTTGCTCATGGCTCAGACTTATGCACCTCCTCTCGGTCCAGGGAGGAAGGGTCCCACTTGCCCTGGGGGGCAGAGAGGGTCCACCGGCCTTCAAGGCAGAGGAGGGCCTGGGGGGGGGAGACGTTTCCTTGGGGGCCTTAGGCTCTTAGTACACTGGACCCCAAAGGGCTTTGGAAAGGCACAGGGATCTGGTGAGGCCCTTGCCCAACCCTCCGCTCCTTGGTCCTTCCGGCCTTGCCCCTCCCCCTCCCCACAGGGTGTGCCGGTTGCATTCATGCGTTCAGACGGTGGCCTGACTCCGATGGAGGCTTTCAGCGGATCTCGGGCCATCCTCTCAGGCCCTGCTGGCGGAGTTGTGGGCTATGCAGTCACTAGCTACCACCGAGTGGAAGGGCATCCGGTCATCGGCTTCGACATGGGCGGTGAGTGGTGGGAGTGGAGGGGCTCCATGGCCTGTGCGGAGCAGGGGGAGGGAGGGAGGGAGGCTCACCAGATCCTCTTGCAGGGACCTCCACCGACGTGAGCCGCTACGCCGGAGAGTACGAGCATGTCTTTGAGGCCACCACTGCCGGCATCAGCATCCAGGTGCCGCAGCTGGACATCAACACGGTGGCTGCCGGAGGGGGCTCTCGCCTCTTCTTCAGGTGAGCGTCCTGCTTCAGGTCCCCCCTCCGGCCACAGGGAGGCTCTTGAGCTGCGGACGATTCATCCTCCATCTTTCTTTGAGTGGGGAGGGATGAAGGGCAGCC